CCCACTCTGGGCCCCTGAGCAAGGCCCTTAACCCTCATCATCTGCTTCCAAAAACAGTTATCTCTTGAAAATGAGTTCTCGTGACTCAATGAGACTATCTGTATAAATAAAGGGTAAAAATAAACAAATAATTAGCTGAAAAAGCTAAAATTAGCATAAAAACATCTAAATAGTTGCTGAAATAGCAGAAAATTCTGAAACTTGCAGAAATAAGCTGAAAGGAGCATAACAAGCTGAAATTAGCAGAAAGAAGTCAGAGGAAGCACAAAAATGTTGTAGTTAGCTGAAATAATCTGAAAGGAGCGCAAAACAGCTGAAAAAACCTAGCTGAACTTAGCTGAAAGTAGCTGAAAAAAGTTTAAATTTGCACAAGGAAGCTGAAAGAATGAGTTCAGTTCATTTTCTATGCGGAAAGAAGTGGCAGAAAAAGCTAAATATTTCAAAAAGCTAAAGTTGTACCAATTCCAAAAGTCATAAAGTCCAAATTATCAAAGTCCTTCTCCTGAAAAAAATAATTTCACTGTATCCCGGTACAATGATAATAAAGCTTATTCTGATTTTGATTCTGAAAGGGCTGAATGTTTTAATATAGGATTTGTTGAAACAGCGCAAAAAAGAATGAGAAAGATGTCGAAAAACATATGGAAGACAAATGGATCACAATAGTGTGAATGCTTCATAAACATTCATACATAAACACTTATTTTTATCAAAGTTTATTGCACAATGAAAGAGATTGATCCGTTACAAATGTAAAATGATCCCAAACTAAATTTGATAAATGTGACTACGATAAATATACTGTTATCACTGATATTACTGTTGTTTCACTTTACATCCGTTACGCCGTGTATTCTGAACACTGGGTGATATTATCTGTTGTTGGCCTTCTGTATCTGGAAGTCTGGCCTACATTGTAGGTAGTGAAAAGCATTTTCACACTGATTTCCCTGCAGATCTAATTAAACAAGGAATGAGAACCAGTGAGATGCTGTTTTACTGCGGGCATGAGATACATTTTAATTCAGTTCCTTGAACTGACATTCTGTGATTTTAGATTAATCATAAGTCCATTGACAGCTCAGCATGTATGACTCATTAGGCTGTAATAATTTAAAGTGTATTATTATGCCTTGGACATGCTGGAAGAAGAGATTTTACATCTCAAGTGTCCCATCTTCTGGTTAAAAACTCAACTATCTCAATTTTTAAATAATTATATACATAGAGCATGAAGTATATAATTAAAAATTAATTAAAGTGATTCAACTTATGAAGGTATACAGCGTAATAAAACAAAACCTTAACTTTTTTTTGGCACAAATTCAGAAGATAGTGCAATAGTCCTTTTTATAAGCCTGGAAATCAACTCTATTTAGTCTGTTGTAAGCAAAGTTATGATTTTTCCAGAATGCAACTTACATCCCCTATTGTAATCCTTAAATTTTAATATCATCCCTGCCATTTTGTAGGAGTTGTGGTTTTGTCCCTGGTGTTGTGTTTATGTCTGCGTTCCTCTGATCCTCTGTTTCTATCTTTATAGGGTTTGTGTTTCTTTTGTATCTAGCCCAATCTTGTTTGTCTTGCATCCCTTGTCTTTTTCTTTGGCATCTGTGATTACTCACAGGTGCCTTCACTTTGTCTAATTGATGTTTCCTGTATACAAGTCTGTGTCTCTGTGTTAGTCCTTGTCCTGGCATTGTCTTCTGTCCACTGGTGATGACCTATCTGTTTCATGAGGACATCGTTATCTGTCTGTTTGTTTTGCTGCCCTATCAGCTCTTTGTTTTGTTAATAAATTCTTTTTTTATATATACATCCTGAGTCCTTGCCTCCCTGCCTGCACTATTGGGTTCATCAGCACCAGCCTTTAATGCCACATTTTTAGGGCAAAACTTAAAGTAGTCACCAGTTTTGTTTCCCAAACTGATGGAGAAAGAGTTCAGCAAGAACGGGGTTCTGTTCCAGAAAGGATGAACTCCTAAAGCTAGAGTCTGACGATCTTCACCCAAAGTTATGTGTAACAGAAAAGATAGCATCATCAGATCTCCACTACGATTAAAATATACATCTCACTATAGAAACTAATTAGTGGACAAATGATGCTCTCTTGCATCTTTTTATTAGGTTTATGAGTTTTGTGTGATCTCTGTGTGTGATTTACTCACTTATGTATTTCTTTTTCCAGCTCCCCTGTGCTCCTTGTGCCATCGTTCACTCTCCTCAGTTCAGCTCCTGCCTTTCAGTCAGTTCATGCTTTTCAACCCTGCCAAACCTAAATACAGCTGGACATTTGGAGCGGCAGCCTCAAGTGTTTTGTCACAAAGAAAGCATCCATGTGGGTGTAAAGGGCCACAGCTCTAGTGCTCTAGAACTGCAGAAGCTAAACTGAGAAGAGCTTGAGAATGGCTATATGCCCATAACTAATCTGATTGTTTTAAACAAAGATTTGTTGCACAACTGATAACCTCTGTGAACAATTGGAGACATTTTGAAGACCCTTGGAAATATCATTCATCAGTTCCCACCACCAACATTTGGCTGCTGGAGACTTAAAGAGATTCTTCATTGGAACAAAAAAGGTTCCTTCATTTCAGAATTAACAAACTCAAAACCCACTATTGAAGAACCTATAGCATAAGAATATCAAGCATGGAGAAGTGTGTCAAAAGAATTTAGGTAAAGTTATGAATGTTTATCAGTAGCTAATGTTAAATTCATGTGTGTGAGTTGTCTTCTCAGAGAGGAGCCTGCAGGGGGCACCTGATAAACTCCAAGGCCTTCTCCAAGTTTGTAAGCTGGAAAGCCAAGGTCTTCTTAACTTCGCCTCTGTTGATTCAAACTGACGAGGCTCATGTAACTTTGTACATCGGTGAAAGCCCGTCTTCCGTCCTTGCAAGTAAACTGGGTTGAAAAATCCTCTCTTGTCATCATGTGTGAGCTACTTTATTTAAGTAGATGATGAAAGGATAACTATTTTATCCAACATTTTGGCCCTTCGAGTCATACCCAACATTTAACCTCGGACCACCAGGCTTGGATCTGAAACCGTGCATGGGGAAGCTCCTGAAATGAAAGTCCTCCGGCTGAATTGTCAAATTTAGTGAGGCCAGATTTGTTGTTGGTCTGAGCTACATGGCGAGAAGGAGCATTATGGTACTTTTAATAAACCTTTCTTTAACCAAGTAGATCTCAATGAGCTTAAAAATTTCTTTTTCAAGAGAGACCTGGCCAAGATCGGCAGTAGCATGTTGATAGAAACCAACATGAAGTTCCTGCTTTAGTTTTTATAAAAACACATTTCTCATGAATATGTGTATCTTTGTGCCCTTGAAGAGGCTAAGAAAAGTATTTTTGGTGGGCTATTAGGGGAAATAATTTCAGATGAAAACAATCACCGGTCTGTTCTTGTTTAGGGCTATCAGGGGAATGGAGAGGGGCTCGTTGCAGATGTGCTGCTGTTTCAGGAACAGCTTGCAGTTTGAGTGTTCCCTTACTAAACCTCCAATAAACAACACCCCACTACAGTTTAATAAGGAGAAAATGGACCTCTTTATCTCCAGTCCGTGAAGCCGTGACAACCAGTCATGCTTGTGAAATTAGGAGCAATAAAACCATTTTTTCCTGTTGACTAAAACATACAATTTATTTTCTAAATAAAGTCCAGGTGAGTGTTGATAAAGCTTTAAAAAAATATCTGATAATTAGTTTGTTAAAACTCTTTTAGGCCCAGTATGATCACTGCGATTAGAAAAGACTTGATGTCTTGATCATAAAATCTTGGCAGCCACCTTTTTACTGCGGGCAATATTCAGGTGATTTCAGCTGCATGTGGTGTTTTAAAGCATAAAACTAAAGGCACACTGAGATCCACTTGTGAGAAATGCAGGATAGAGCTACAGACATTACAATCCTGACCCAGATTTAACCTTAAAAGATTTTGTTTCTTTAAAATCCTTTGTTTCTATTCTATATTTCCTCTTAATTAACCATCCCTGCGCCATTTAGCTGTTGATCTGTGCCCCATTTGACCTGTGATTCGAATGGTTTTAGTGAGATAAAAGCTGGAAAGTAGAAAGTTTTCTGATGGTGTTAACTATTTATAGGAAGCTGCAGGGAGATTTTTAAACATTAAAGTAGCATGTATATCAAAGAATAGCTTCACAGTGAAAAAGCAAAACAGACAGGAGATGTAGAACAATTGACAGAGAAAACCATTTCCCTTACAGGTCAGCAAACATTTCCCTCTCGTTTTTCACACCCAACGTGTTGCCAAGCTCCTACCCAGGGATACCCTCAGTCATGGTTAAATATAAATACGTAAACCTCACATCCTTGCGCTGTTTGCTAAGTCTATAATTGAGAAGAGCGTTCCAGTGCTTTCCGTGGGTCTAGTCCAAATCAAATAGAGATGTTTCCAGCATAAACTCCCGTCTGCGGCTCCCACACACCAGCAGACCTTGGCTGCAAATTTTCCAACCAGAACATCCCCCAAGATTCTACAACCACAGGATATTTCAGTCCACATTTAGTTACACGCAGAACAATTGTGCAGACTTTAGAATGGTCTTTTATTTTCTTTAACTACTTTGCGTCCGAATTTGCGAAACTGTGCCGTCTAGACCATGCACTGCAAATGACCTGCAGATTTTTCTCATTCACAGTGAGTCAAAGTGCTTCGGTGCAGCTGTTGAATCTGCCATAAAACTAAATGGACCAACAGTGAAAAAGCCTCATTTGCTTAGCACTCAACAGACAATAATTTACAAAAGGGAGCACATGTGGTATGATGTTTACCTAAGATCATAATCTGGCCCTTTGAGGGAGAACTGCTACATCACATCAAGATGATGTATATCTGTGTGGTTTTGGAATATGACTTGAAGATGAAAAAAACAGCAAAAAAAACGCACAAAAATATTAAACAGCGTGGCAAAGAACAAGAATTTGTCTTGTTGAATGAATCAGTTTTAATTGTATAGAAGAACGATGCGACCTACCCGGTGGAAGGAGTCATGATGCAGCCACCTCGATCCACTGTCACTCTGCATCCACACCCCCGCTCCGGTGTGTCGTGGTTCATCCCGAAGTTGTGTCCAAGCTCATGGGCCAGAGTGACTGCAGCTCCCAGAGGATTGTCTGAATGATCCTAAAAGAAATCTTATCTCACCATCATTTACTCCGACAAGATTTACTTTTGATATTTCTAGACGTGAAACGGTGACTAGTCATGAAATCTGTTCATTTGACAGCTCTTGTGCAGAAATTAACACTGAAAGTTAAATATTAACATAATATTTTGATGATCTGAAGAAATATGATTCAGGGCAGACAAGCACAATTACAAATGTCCCAAATTAAACAAGCTGTTCAAACAAACCTGGGCATTGTTGACCATTTTTACCAATTCATACGTCTTTAAAAAATAAAAAAAATAAAGGTCTTTACATTGTTAAAACTAATTCTGACAGAGCCACAGCAGCTGTTACATTCTCACAAATAAAGATAAAAACTAAAGCTGATCTTTCATGTCAGAGTTTCAACTCAACTTATGATGACGAGGTACAGAGCTATAGCCGTTAAGGTCAAACTTTGTAAATGATATGTGCAATATCTAATATTTCAATATTTCACACCATCTGTTAGCACTTGTTAGTCCGTTTTGGGGATGATGCTCATGCACTAGTGCACAAAGATTTAGCCTAACGTAAAACTGACTGAATTAAAACCACTTTCCTGTTTATTTTAGCAAATAGCTTTCTGGGAGTTGCATTAAAATCCATCCAATAGTTCATGAGACATATTGCTAACGAATCACCTGCACACAGATTCGAGCAAAAACATCAACACCCTCGCTGGCAGGCAATGACTTTTAAGATTCAATGATCAAAAAAGTGACGTCATTGTGTTTAGCTCTAGCTCTACTGCTGTATCTGTTCCTGTTAACCTTGACTCTCTTCAGCCATACCTTAAGCAGTCTAATCTCGAGATGGTTTTAGACTCGGACTAAGTTTAATAAACAGATTAACTCTGTTCTACAAAAAGCTTCTTCCAGTTAAGGCTAAGCTTAAGTCCATGTTGACCAGACCTTGAGAAATTAGTCCATGCACTCGTTGCAACCTGGCTGGACTACCGTAACATGCTTTATGTTGGGGTCAGTCAGGTCTCCCTTTCACATCTCCAGCTCGTCCAAAATGCTGAAGCTCGACTTTTAACATGGACTCGTAGGTTTGAGCACATTTCACCAGTTTTGTCATCCCTTCACCGGCTCCCTGTACATATCAGAAAAGATTTAAAAATTCTCCCGTTGACCTTTAAGTGCATAAAAGGCCTTGCACCCTCTTATCTCTCTGACCTACTTCAACCATATGTTCCTTCTGGTGCTGAGATCATCTGATCAGCTGCTTTTGGTCGTACCAAAAACCAGGCTGAAGTTCAGAGGAGATCGGGCTTTTTCAGTCATGGGCCTTAAACTCTGGAACAATCTGCCCTCCAACATTAGACAGGCCACTTCACTCCCTGCGTTTAAATCTCTCCTAAAAACACACCCGTTTTCATTAACGTTTAACACAGTGTGATTTGATTTAGTATTTGTTTTTGTTTTATTTTGATGCTTATAAGTACATCTCATCATTTTTCTTCTTCTTTAACTTACTGCCTTGTTCTTATTGTTAAGCACTTTGGTAACAGCTGCTGTTTGAAATATGCTTTATAAATCAATTTGACTTGACTTTAAGACACAAACAAGCTCTAATGGGATAGCGTGAAAATCCCAGGTACACCGTATTAAAGTTAAGCAGTGGAAAGATGGAGCTGCAGTGACACGCTGAGTGAAGGCTGCTAAAGATTTCCTGCAAGGTGTCTCGAACATGAACACATGAAAAGGGCGGATAAATAATGCAGGTGCAGGAGCTATCAGCTCATGGATGCAGAGCCACGTGTCAGGGCACCTTGCCTCTGGATTTTTCAGACACCGTGCATTATTCAGCAGTGCCGCGCAAGTTGAGCTCAGCCTGACCGACCGTCCTGCTGGGGGCTTTTGAACGGAACAAAAATCAGCTGTCAGCACTACAATCCAACTGAGCAGCCCGTTGGGCACTTCATGAAAATCGTCCAAGCTGCATTTCATTGCACCAATTAAATCAACAAAACAATTACAGCTGCTATGCAGACTCCAGATGTCTTGTTTTAGTTTAATTGCGTAAAATAATAATAATGAGCACTTTAGAACTAATGAGCTCAAAGTGTACTCTCTAAACAACGAGACACAACTCAGGCAAGATGGTTGTGATTTGTCCAATAAAAACGTCAGCGGTTAAGCTTTTAGTCTGCTTCAAATATGGTACACTTTATCATAATGACCAATTCCCCACTTTTTAATGTAGAAGGATGAAAGTCAAGAACAATCTTTAAACAGGATGTTATTCATCTAACCAAGTCCTTTAGAGAGAGAGAGGCAGTGAAAGTAAAACGATAGCATGATTTGTGCTAATGCAACATTTAAGCACAATGTATAAGATTAATCTGTAATAGGTCAAACCCCTGCATTTCCATTCAGGCTGAGGCATACTGTAGCCTTAAATTCACTCGTTTATTGCACCTCATTAAAAAGCAAACCGTTTCCACTCGTGCAATCGATATGTACTGATTTATCACAGATACCACATATTCCCTTCACTTGACCTTTCTGTGAAAGGACTTAACGATGTGTTTGCCCTAAAGTTGATAGCAGGTATTATCAGCTCCAAAATCATTTTTAAACTTAGACTCTGAGGAGAAATTCACAAGTTTTTTTGTGGGACAGGAGGGAGAACGAAGTAAAGGACACGAGGCAGGATAAAGGAAGACCTGCCAATATGCATTTCCCTCTAGAGGAACTAAAACCATTTGCATTACTGTGAGTGAACTTACGCACCATAACTATTCCTCCCGACTGCTCTGCCGTGCACATACTCATGATGGGCGCCATTCCAATGGTGGTGCCTTGGAAGTACACACCACTGAAACAGAGAACAAAGTACTGGTGTTGATTCCCAGTCATTCAGGACCTGGAAAACTGCATATGATGCTCTGTTTATGCAGCTAAATGCACATGCAGATTAATCTCCCTCCCTCCCTTCTGAAGGTCATTAGGGTCTTTGTTCACCTGGCTCACAAGAGAGATGGAGAATTGGTCTTTTTTACTTAAATTCCCACCTTCATGCATGTGACTAAGCATCTGTCTTGTGAGGCAGGCAAACAACCCTAACGTTCCTCATGAGGTAGGGGAGTGAGTTTAATCTGCGCATGAATTTAGCTCACATAAGCAGAGTATGGAGTTTAACGCTTGTAATTCCACACACTCCAGTTTGAAGTGAAAAACTCCCCAGATAAAAAACAAAATCTCCTCTACTATAAACAGAAGTCCAGTTGCTTCAGTTTCAACTTTTACAAATGGAGTAAAGTTGTTACCATCCCACTCAGGCTGCACAATGTATAAAAAAACCTGTATGAATATGGCAATATAAATGTGTGAAATATTATCGGTTCATCAAAGGAGCAATTGGGTTATAATAGATGGTCTGAACCAACTGTGCTTTGGTCTCACAGATTAAGATCTGGTATTGTCCCATGGATGATTAGGTAGAAAAATCCAAATTGAATTTATCAACTAAAGCAAACGTACTTGAGAGTTTTTTAATGAGTAGTTTTTCATTTTACTCATTGGACAAAATTTGTAAAGTTTTGAGTGAGAGAGTTTTTTTTAGAAGTTGTGGTTACACTGTGATAGATAAGTTGCTACTGTAACAAGAAGCAGATGTTTTCTATTGATGCTAACCCAACCTTGTCATGATTTCAGAAAACTGCTGCCAAAACCAACTGGGTGACACCAAGTCTGTCATTTGTACATTTATATTTTAATAATATAAATAAAACCCACTGTGGAATATCACGTAAAGTGTTTAAATGCTGTGCTTAAAACAAAAAAAAAGTGGTATATTCTGGTTTAAGTAAGTTACCTGATTAGCTGGGCATTGTCATGTGGCTTCTGAGGTAATAATTTGACTTTCCTCCAGTCTAAAAACTCATGTAAGGTGGTAAAAGGGTCCTGGGTAATGGGACATTTGTCAGCGTCACTCCAAACCTCGAGCCCCACCAGTGCCACTCGGATATTCAAAGCCCTGTAGAACTGAGGGTAGGGGAAAGATGATGGGGGAGACATGTGGCTTCAGGTTACAGTGTACGGTCAGTCTCATTTCCCAAATTTTGTAAAAATTGCTACATGAAATGTGCTCCTTCAAACTACCACTTCCTACTAAGGATAAATTATTTCTGTTTTTGTTTTATTCCACTAATAATCTTTACATGTCTCAGCTGAGTTCTGAAATCGATCTTCCATTCATAATCCAATCAGCTTCTGCTCACAGGTCGCATAATTCTCACTCGGCTTGATGCGAACTCTAATAAATCACATTGCAAGCCCGCGTTCACTAGTTCCCTTCGATTGTTACCTTGTCCACATAATTGGCGATCTCAGCCAGTCGCTGTTTGACCTTCTCCATGTCTTTGCCTTGCTTCTGAAACTGAACGGCACATGCAAACAGAATAAAACATGACAAGGACGAAAAAAGCTCTTGAAACTTTATTAAGCACACACACACAAATAAATAAAATAACCTACATAATTCAGAACATTGTTAACGCTGAGCTTTGTGCTGCACTAAAATTCTTGTGTTAATCCAGCTACTGCTTCTGCTGCACTTATCAAAGAGCTTCTTGTAATGATAAGCGTTTCTTTTAAGTAAAAAAGATGACTTTGGGATCTTTTATAGTGTTCTGCTGACTCGGCACGGTCTTTACCTACTGTAGTTTCTTTTGTACATTTTTTCAGCTCAATCTATTTCCGTAAACTTTAAGCTATTTTAACATTTTGTATATAAAAATGTTCAGCTCGATTGAGAAAAGTGAGCCGTGATACTATTTTTAGTGACCTTTGTACTTTTTAAAAACAAAATTTTTACAAAAATAAAATTCTCATCGAAATATATTGAGAGCAACTTCTTTAAAAATACTGTGCAGTGTGTAATGTGCTTCAGCATACTTTTTGCTCTTATGTTCCTTTAAGCATTTAGCTATGGTTTTGCTCTTTTTAGCTTTTAGCTACAGTTTTTCAAATTTTAGCTACAATTTAGTTCAAATTAACTTTTAGCTGTGATTTAGTACATTTTAGTTTTTAGCTACAGTTTTGCTCATTTTAGCTACGTTTTTTCTAGATTCACCTTTTAGTTATGGTGTTGGTCACTTCAGCTATAGCAAACACTTAGCGTTTAGCTACTGTTTTGCTATTTTACTGATGGTTTTTCTATTTATAGTTTTACCTATTGCTTTGTTCATTTTAGCATATTGTTTGTCTACTAAGTGTTTAATTACTGTCTTGTTCCTTTTTAGTTAAGCATTTTTTTGCTAAATTTAGCTTTTATTCAGCTTGATTTTACATTTTCAATTAAGTGTTCAACAAATTTCAGTTGTCTAGTTATAATTATAGTTGATCGAGTTATATGTGACATTTATTTTTTGCTTTAAAATTATACAATGCTGCTCATGCCTCTGGGAAACAGAGTATGAAGATGAAGATTTAAGACTGAGACCATTTAAAGCCCCATTTTTGAGTCATGTGCTGCAATGATGGATGTAGAAGGCACCGAACAGCAAACGGATGAGCCAGTGACACATCAGTGACAACATGGCCATAATAGAGCTGTCCTATCCATGCCTCATGAGAAAAAGGTAATTTAGCACGTGACCTCGAGGGGTGTTTCTTCAGGGAGTCTGCACAAGAGCTGAAAAGGCTGCAACCTCTGCTTACCTCTCTGTTGTCAGCAACAATGATAAGCTCCACGTACTTGGTTGTTGTCTGGAGGTGGCGTTTATGCTGGAAGACAGTGGAAAGGAAAATTTATTTTTGGGGAAAGGTGGAAGAGGCACAGGAATGAACAATAGGTTTGAGGAAAAAAAAACAGGGACAAACGAGGACATACAGAAGGGCATCCTAACTTCATCAGGTGGCCACGTAATAAAGCTTTTCTCCTGCTAGTCATAGAAAATGAAGCACAAGAGTCAGTACAAAGCTATCAGTTAGCCTCTGTTTGACCCAGTAAGGACTGCTGAGGTCACACAATACTGCACAGGAACAAGCTTATTAACTAATAAATCACTGCTTCTGACTAACGCTGCCCCATTGTAATAATTTCACACTACTTTTTTCTATCTGAAAATTAAGCAGAATGCGAAATACTCTGTTAATAATAATAATAATCTGAAATAATCTGTTGATTTACAATTTTACAAAAAATGGTATTAGACTCACATTGAAGCTTTTCTTTATTTCCAAATGCTTCTGATGTATATATTTGCCTGCTATGCACAGGAAGGTAAAACATGGCCCCTATCCAAGAAACATTTTTATGATTGTCTCATGCTGTGTTGGACAGTCGCTCACTTTCGGCGCATGTTGAGTTAAGTCTGTTTCACCTGCACAAACACACACAAGCCCACCCTCTCTACTCACACGCTTGTGGATCCTACATCGCTCTGCTGACTGACAGTTCTGCCTTCACACCATGGTGCACTTTCAACACGATTTTCTTTATCCATATTGGCCTGGCAGCTCTCCGCTCTTATCTACCTCATTCATAGATAAACCAGGATGGGCAAGTATGTTCTAAACGCACCCTGTGGTGATAAGCAAGCTTCTAGGAAGCTGGAGAAGAGACACACATGAATAATGGGTTGACAGTAAGCAGAACGTACATCTGTTCTTAAAAAAACAAAATAGAGGACTTTGGTTTTGAGGGGGGAAAAAATGCAACAATTTTTTTTTGCATGACAAGACTTTTTGTTATTTCAGAACTGGATCATTATTTTCTTAAAGTGCTTATGAGTATCTGGTAATAAGCTTTCCCTACCCTACCCTACTCTACCCTTACTTTTACAGTTTCACTTGATTTTATAGTTTTTTTATGCTTGCTTGTATGTGTTAATGTACAGCACTTCGGCCATCAATGTTGTTTTTAAGTGTTTTATAAATAAAGTTGTATTTTATTGTATTGTACCCACCCACTGTATATTTTAGATCAAATATAATTATAGATTCTACATCCTATTCATTGTTACCTGCATATTCTGACCAGCTAGCATCAGTCAAGCTAGGACATTTTGCTCAGCAGCTTTAAAAACGAGTAAGTCTTGATGTATAAATGCTGCTGTTTTTTTTTTTTTAATAAACGATTTAAATGATTTCTACAAGTTATCTCAAATTGTACAAGTTGTTTTCTGTGCCCGCCATTAGACATGTTTGGAAAGATGACATTTTCTATTTGCTACATTTTAAATGCTGACGAAGTATAAGTAGTTATGTTTAGTAGTGACGTCTCAAAACTGTAATTTATGTTACTGTGAAACTAGTCCATTGAGTGAGCACCTGTAGTTTCCCATTGCACTTGGTATATATGCTGAGCCAATATTCAGGACATGTGACATTACTCCAAAACTTGATTTTGCAAATGGGTTAATGTTGCACAAGCAAAATAATGAGAAGTGTGCTATTATGTTCCTTTTTGTTTTTGGAATGCAGTTTATTTTTATATTTTAAGCATTGGATGTGCTGTATGCAACACTGGCACTGAATTAATTTGAGGTGCACTATTATTGAAACTGGTTTAAAAGTGAAACTTTTAAAGATAAGTAGATGTGATTGAAATAGACATTTCATTACAGTTTAAATTGTACAGAAAAATAGTTAAAAACAGAAATTTATAATGATGGTACATTGTCAAAACCACTTGGACTACTTGTGATAAGAAATGAGAACTCATGTAGTCATAGCCCTGTTGTTTATACAGGCTAGGTTTTTTTTGGAACCAATGGAACTTGGACCTAGAACTGGATTTCTCCCTGACGAGAGAGATGGCGAGCCACGCTTGAGAACCCTTGAACCGAGCTGGACCAGTCTTCTTGGCTCGTGGAGAACAGGCTGCTCTCCCACCACTGCAACATGTTCAGCAAATGTTTCTTTTTTTCCTTTTTTCTTACTGTTTTTTGTTACAATTTATATTTTTGTTATTTTTGGGTGTAACTGGGACGTTGAGTACACAATTTCATTCCACCTCATGTATCACATGTGATGCGAATGAAAATAAAGAACCTTGAACTGTGTGGTAGGAGTTGCTGTGACCCACTCTCAATAGACACGGACTCTGACCTGTATGTATATGTATATGTATGTATGCATGTATGTGTATGTATG